ATATTGTTTTTAGAGGAGCACCAAATTTTAAATCTATCTTAACCACAAATTTTACTAAAAAATCTCCTCAAAAAAATCTATCATTTTTTCCTCAGACGAAAGGTTTTTTTAGATGTAAACAATGCATTGTATGTAAAACTGTGGATCATGTCATCTTACCAAAAATTACAAAATTTATGTCAAATCAAACCAAAAAAGTGTATGATATTTATGACTTCATAAGCTGCCATACGAAAAATGTTATTTATCTGCTCGAATGCCCATGTGGCCTCCAATATGTGGGGATGACCACAAGGTGCCTAAAGATAAGACTGAGCGAACATTGCAGAAATATTAGAAATGGATACCTAAACCACACAGTATCCAAACATTTTATTATGCACAATAAAGATCCCCGTCTATTAAAATGTATTGGTATAAAAAAATGTTCCACCTCCTGGCGGGGAGGTGATATAAAAAAACTACTTGGAAAAACAGAGATGGAATGGGTGTATAAACTTCAGACTCTTATACCCCATGGCCTCAATGCAGACTTTGACTTATATAATTTTCTATGAATCTTAAGTTATCTGGTGTCTGTACCTTTAACTATGGTTTTATTACTATTCTCTTTTACCAGTTTAACTTTTATTATTATATTTTATCCATCTGTTCCTTTAAATTGCATCTTAATATAAGATAGATTTTATCTTTATTTAGCTCCTTTTATCTTTTGTGTATTTACCATGTTCCCATTCAACTACATTTCCCAATAAGCATTTCGGCTATGCTAGCCGAAAAACCATGTGACCATATTTTTAATATCTAAATTAGAGAGCCAGCCCCTTCGTTTTGTTTAAAAAAAAACTTATATGGAATTGTGCTGCAATAAAGTGGCCCCAAAAGAAAAAAGAACTAAGTTTTGAACGGCCGCCATTCGCGGCATATACACCAACTACATTTCCCACAAATCATTGCGGCGGCACCTCCGAAATGCGGAAGTGCCGCCGGTCACGTGTTTCTTTTAAAACTTTTAAAATTACCCTTTCCCACCCTCGTTTTTGATTTTAAAGTACTGTAATCAAGCTGCATTGTTATAAAGTTTAAGCTTATTATGTTATTTTCGAAATTTAAAGTTGTATATATGCTCTTATTGTTGATTGGCTGAACTAAGTTTTGGCGCCAAATTTCAACTAATTGTGCTCCTATATAACATCTATGTGCCAGGTAAACTATGTTATTCCATTTGAAAAAGTCCTTTTGTGACGAAACGCGTTATGGATATTTAAATATTGTGTTTTTATATATATTAAAGTATTATTGGTCATTTGTTTTTGCCAATTATCTTTTTTATAAGACACATACTCTTCTCATTTACCCTGGCCCTTTTATTGTTATTTTAAATACCTTCTTTTTTTAACTGGTTTTAAAAAAACCTTAAAAATTCCTGGAAGTTTCCTGTACCCAAAGAAATCCGTAGGTGGGGATCAATCCACCCAAGCTGTCACCAAAGAGCAGTGTGTCTGCTCCTACTTTGTAAGTACATTTCTTTTATTATTTAATTATTATTCGCCATACAGTGAGCACTATTGGCTGTTTGTTTTATCCTGAGAATTGGATACCATTCACGGAGAGGAACCTGCCCTATATCCCATAAGCGGGGATTAAACCGCTGTACACGCTTAACTCCTAGAGCTGGACAATAGCTCTGGTAAATGTGAGTTTTTTACTATTATAATTTTTATCTCTAAGACTTGAATTCTACATACTACACCATTGGATGTCCCCTTGTCTTCTCTTTTTTATCTTTTATTAAGTGAAATCATCACAAAAATAGAAGACCTCACCAAACAAGGACATCAGTAAGAAAAAACCATTTGGACTTATTTTATTTTATTTTACTCTAATTGGACTTTATTTATCTTTTGTGCGCAGCCTTTTATTGTTTTTATTGTATTCTGTTTTAAAGGGTTTGAGGGATTCCCTTTTAAGGTCGCTGCCTATAGTTACTTAGCGCTATCTCACTCCTCTTTTTTACAATTAAGTCAATGGGACCTGATGGAATACAACCAAAACTATTAAAAGAGCTTAGTGGTGTACTAGCAAAACCATTAACAGATTTATTTAACCAATCATTGTTAACAGGAGTAGTCCCAGAAGATTGGAAGTTAGCGAATGTTGTGTCCATTAACAAGAAAGGTAATAGGGAGGAGTCGGGCAACTATAGGCCAGTAAGCCTTACTTCAGTAGTGGGGAAAGTGATGGAAACCATGTTAAAGGATAGGATTGTTGAACATCTAAAAACACATGGATTTCAAGATCAGAGACAACATGGGTTTACTTCAGGGAGATCGTGCCAAACTAATCTTATTGATTTTTTTGATTGGGTAACTAAAATTATAGATCAGGGTGGTGCAGTAGACATTGCTTACCCAGATTTCAGTAAGGCTTTTGACACTGTTGCACATAGAAGGCTTATCAATAAACTGCAATCTTTAAGTTTGGATTCCAATATTGTTGAATGGGTAAGGCAGTGGCTGAGTGACAGGCAACAGAGGGTTGTAGTCAATGGAATATATTCGAAGCTTGGACTAATCACCAGTGGGGTACCTCAGGGATCTGTACTTGGACCCATTCTCTTTAATATTTTTATTAGTGATATTGCAGAAATTCTTGATGGTAAGGTATGTCTTTTTGCTGATGATACTAAGATATGTAACAGGGTTGATGTTCCACGAGGGATAAGCCAAATGGCAAATGATTTAGGTAAACTAGACAAATGGTCAGAATTGTGGCAACTGACATTTAATGTGGATAAGTGCAAGATAAAGGGCAGAGTACAAAATATTTGATAGAGTCCTAACCTCAACATCTGAGGAAAGGGATTTAGGGGTGATTATTTCTGATGACTTAAAGGTAGGCAGACAGGAAATGCTAGCAGAATGCTTGGTTGTATAGGGAGAGGTATTAGCAGTAGAAAGAGGGAAGTGCTCATGCCATTGTACAGAACACTGGTGAGACCTCACTTGGAGTATTGTACACAGTACTGAGACCGTATCTTCAGAAGGATATTGATACCTTAGAGAGGGTTCAGAGAAGGGCTACTAAACTGGTTCATGGATTGCGGGATAAAACTTACCAGGAAAGGTTAAAGGATCTTAACATGTATAGCTTGGAGGAAAGACGAGACAGGGGGAATATGATAGAAACATTTAAATACATAAAGGGAATCAACACAGTAAAAGAGGAGACTATATTTAAAAGAAGAAAAACTACCACAAGAAGAGGACATAGTCTTAAATTAGAGGGACAAAGGTTTAAAAATAATATTAGGAAGTATTACTTTACTGAGAGGGTTGTAGATGCATGGAATAGCCTTCCAGCTGAAGTGGTAGAGGTTAACACAGTAAAGGAGTTTAAGCATGCGTGGGATAGGCATAAGGCTATCCTAACTATAAGATAAGGCCAGGGACTAATGAAAGTATTTAGAAAATTGGGCAGACTAGATGGGCCGAATGGTTCTTATCTGCCGTCACATTCTATGTTTCTATATATTCTACTATTTTTCAATTATTTAAACAAGTATATATTCTATAAATTATATAACTAATATTACTAATATAGCTAAATAAAATTAGCTGGTTAGACAGACAGATGTGCAGATTGATAGACATACAGATATTAGATAGATGATGATGAAGAGAGAGAGAGAGTTAATATTGGGATCGTAGTAAAATATATAGATTTCTTTACATCTTCATTAATTGTGGTTATATGTGTTAAAAATATATTTTGTTAATAGTTGAAGGGACTCTCACACATGCCATGCCACATTAAATGGAAACAGTCTTCTAATCACGACAGATTTAACCCCAAAGCAAGAAAAAAAAAATACTTTTGTTTTTCAGCATCAGTTTGGTTGTTAATTGGTTTTCACTTCACAATTAAACAAATCTAAAAACCTGTATACCCCACATGAGGTTAATTTCATCTTATGTCGATGGCATTCGCAATCCCCTGTATATCAAGCCTATACATCATCTTTCGGATGAGGGTGTAACAGGGGTTTTTCTGAGTATGTATCCAAATATATTATTACACCATGTCAGCATTTACCGAAATACCCCATGGATATTTGAAACTCCATGTAGAATATATGCTATAATTAATGCTATTTGTTCTGACGGCAACAGGGAATTATACCTGGCACTAGATAGATATACCTAATAAAGTGGGCACTGGGTGTATTATCCCTGACATTCTTTAATAAAACCATTACACTTTAGGACTTTCAATAATATGAACTAATTACTAATATTTCATCTCTCTGGGCAATAATGCAAATTATGACTACAAAAAGATGCTGGGGCATAAGGGTAGATATGAAGTGCAACTTTTATTACCTGGAAAATGTGCATCAAATAACAGAAATATATTAATAAGCATTTAGTGGAAAATATGTTACAAGACATACTATGAAGTAGATATTACAGCTCAAGGTTCAAATAATATCCAAAGATCACCCACCGTAAACAGAATAGGGGGATAAATGATCACTTTCATTTTAGTTAAGGGCTGGTGGAAGTGAAAAGATCTCAACATTTGTAGACACCACAAGAGAGATTCAATGCAATGATGTGCTTATGAAATCTGATGAAAACATATTTTTTCAATAATACAATGCACCAATAGAAAGTATTTAAAACACAAGCAAAATATTTTTTCTTATTTGTTTTACACAAGGCATATCTTTAATTAGTGGATACAATAAAAACAGAAAGGAAAAATCTCTGATAAAGGACGGAAATAAAAATAAATAAAAAGGTGGTCATCCCGGTCCCAGGAGGCTCCCCACCGCTGCACCCAAAGCCTAAGGCAGGAAACGCGAGCAGCCCCACAATTGAGGAATACCTTGCAGCCTCCCAAGCACGGCTGGACCTGATCTTCGCCAGATTTTTGGCAAAAGTGGAAGCATGGCAAATTAGCAAGCCGGAGCTCGATCACCCGCGGCTGAGCAGGCGATGCCACGGATCTGCTCCCGCAGACCCAATAAACACCCAACGCCCCCAGGCAGGCGGACGGGAAAACAGCACCCCCGCAAGAACCAGCGCACACAGACAAAACACCAGTCTATTGCCCCTCAGAGGCCGGGAACATACAGCAAAAGGCAAGTGGAGGTGGGGAGCGGGGACGGGGCACAGACAAATGGGACTTTGACATACTCAGCTCCGCAAGATGGCAGATCCTGGCATAGAGATGCCACGTGGCACCCAGATGCAGCCCAGCCTCACACTCCCATAGAGAGCAGAACGTTGCATGAAGCCTGCCTGCTCCAGAACGGCCAGCGACCTCCCCACAGACTGGACATTGGATGAGGAAAGGCGAGGACCCGAACCGTCAGATAGCACACTGCAGTGCTGCCGCTGGCACAGAAGACATTACAGACCATCAGGGCTGCCATCAGAAATTTTGGGGCCCCTGACACAGTTCAAAGTGTGGGCCCCCTGGGCCCGCCCCCGAGTCTGCCCCCGGGGGCCCATTCTGAGTCTGCCCACAAGGATGCCCTGTGTGGTGTGTAAAATGGATACAGATTGCACATTTGTATAATGGATGTAGTTTTGTGTGTTTTAGATAAAGTATGTGTGTTTTAGTTTTAGTGTGTGTATGGTGAATGCAGTGCGTGTTTGTGTTGTGGTTTTAGTGTGTGTATGGTGAATGCAGTGCGTGTTTGTGTTGTGGTTTTAGTGTGTGTATGGTGAATGCAGTGTGTGTTTGTGTTGTGGTTTTAGTGTGTGTTTGGTGAATGCCGTGTGTGTTGTGGTTTTAGTGTGTGTATGGTGAATGCAGTGTGTGTTTGTGTTGTGGTTTTAGTGTGTGTATGGTCAATGCAGTGTGTGTTTGTGTTGTGGTTTTAGTGTGTTTATGGTGAATGTTGTGTGTGTTTGTGTTGTGGTAAAAGTGTGTGTATGGTGAATGCAGTGTGTGTGTTGTGGTTTTAGTGTTTGTATGGTGAATGCAGTGTTTGCTTTTGTTGTGGCTTTAGTGTGTGTATGGTGAATGCAGTGTGTGTTTGTGTTGTGGTTTTAGTGTGTGTATGGTGAATGCAGTCTGTGTTTGTATTGTAGTTTTAGTGTGCATATGGTGAATGCAGTGTGTGTTTGTGTTGTAGTATTAGTGTGTGTATGGTGAATGCAGTGTGTGTTTGTGTTGTGGTTTTAGTGTGTGTATGGTGAACGCAGTGCGTGTTTGTGTTGTGGTTTTAGTGTGTGTATGGTGAATGCAGTGTGTGTTTGTGTTGTGGTTTTAGTGTGTGTATGGTGAATGCAGTGTGTGTGTTGTGGTTTTAGTGTGTGTATGGTGAATGCAGTGTGTGTTTGTGTTGTGGTTTTAGTGTGTGTATGGTGAATGCAGTGTGTGTGTTGTGGTTTTAGTGTGTGTATGGTGAATGCAGTGTGTGTTTGTGTTGTGGTTTTAGTGTGTATGGTGAATGCAGTGTGTGTTTGTGTTGTGGTTTTAGTGTGTGTGTATGGTGAATGCAGTGTGTGTGTTGTGGTTTTAGTGTGTATTGTGAATGCAGTGTGTGTTTGTGTTGTGGTTGTAGTGTGTTTATGGTGAATGCAGTGTGTGTGTTGTGGTTTTAGTGTGTGTATGGTGAATGCAGTGTGTGTGTGTTGTGGTTTTAGTGTGTGTATGGTGAATGCAGTGTGTGTGTTTTGGTTTTAGTGTGTGTATGGTGAATGCAGTGTGTGTTTGTGTTGTGGTTTTAGTGTGTGTATGGTGAATGCAGTGTGTGTTTGTGTTGTGGTTTTAGTGTGTGTATGGTGAATGCAGTGCGTGTTTGTGTTGTGGTTTTAGTATGTGTATGGTGTATGCAGTGTGTGTTGTGGTTTTAGTGTATGTAAATGTGTAAAATAGGGGGCTGCATTTGGGGGTGGGGTGTGGGTGGGGAGCCTTTTTGGAGGCATTTACATTTTATTCCCCCCCTCCCTGCTTCTTACCTGGCCTGGGAGGGGGGAGATCACATCCCTGGTGGTCCGGTGGTAAAGTGGAGGGAGCCAGCCGCTGTAGAATGTAGATGGGGACCAGCCAGCACATCTTAACTTTCCAGCACCTCCTGCCTGTAACTCTCGCGAACTGTGCCTGTTTGCCACGCGGAGCGTTGCCATGGTAACCCGTGACAACGCTGTGCTGGCTCGCAAGACTTACAGGCACAGGAGCTGCTGGAGAGTTAAGATGTGCTGGCTGGTCCCCTTCTACATTCTACAGGTAGCTGGGGCACGAGGTGAAAATATAGATAGCTATAATCGCTATCCATATGTGCACAAATGGAATGTAGGACCCGGGACTCCTTGAGCAGTCCGGGCCCCCCAGGACCGCCGGGCCCATGACAACAGTTTACACAAAAGCATTACCTAGCATACTACTAGTTAAAGCTTGTTTGCACTGTAGCCTCACTGTTAATGTTGACACTTTGCTTACCTAATCGACCAAGCTGCTTGCATATCAAACCTTCTAGTGACGACGATGCTACACATGACATAACTGACCAAGCATGTCCACATAGGAATCTTTCTGACGCTGAAGAAGCACTGATTACACAAATAACCAAACTTGTATGCAACGTGTTAACCTTTACCTGAAAAAAATGTGCATGTCTTTCCTCCTCCTAATACTGAGCCTCCTCTTTCGCTCTCCCTTCAGGTAAGTGGTATCCACATAAGTCCATCCTTGCAAGCGCACTACCTGATTCTGGCCTCACCTTTGAGCCTCACATCCAGTATGTTGCCAAATCATGTAGATTCCATCTTAAAAACATCTCTCATCCACCCCTTTCTTACGCAAGATGCTACCAAGGAGCTTGTCCATGCTCTAGTAAATTCCCACATAGATTATTGTAACCCTCTCCTAATTGGTCTTCCCAAAAGCCATTTTACCCCGCTACAGTCTGCAATGAATGCTGCCACCAGACTGATTTTCCTCTCTAGTCTGTCCTCTCACACCTCTGCACAGAACAATTCTAACCCCTTTTATATCTCTTCACAGATCCATAGGTATGCCCCTTCTCGGTCTCTCCACTCTGCCCATGGCCTGTGGAGTCCACTGTCCGCACCTGTACAGCTAACTCACACTTGCAGGACTTCTCGCGGACGGCTCCCTTCCTATGGAATATCCTGCCTACCACGATCAGACTCTCCCCTAGTCTTCAATTGTTTAAGAAGTGCCTTAAAACCCATCTCTTTAGGAAAGCTTAACCTCTACCTCACATACCTGTCTCTTGCTCTTTCCTAAAGGGCAGCACTCTACTCTCTCCTACAGCTCTGCTTCAGTCCCAGCTTATTTGATTGCAATTTCCTGTCCTAATGTGTTTTATACCCCACTTCCTATAGACTGTAAGCATGTTTGAGCAGGGTCCTCTTCAACCTATCGTTCCCGTAAGTTTTCTTGTAATTGTCCTATTTTTAGTTAAATCCCCCCTCTCATAATATTGCAAAAGCGCTATGGAATTTGTTGGCGCTATATAAATGGCAATAATAATAACTATAATAATATTAACTGACAATTTTTTAGGAAAAATTACAAATGAAGAAAATTGCAAATAACATTATTCTCGACTTAACAGTCTTCCAGTAACTTTGCTATCTCCGGGTATGGTTTTCTAGGTCAATTTTTCTTCATACATGTTGAAACCAAATTATCCAGTAATTTAATTGATTTTATATGCTGATGAACTATATTTAACCAAAAACCTATATTTTAACTGAAAAAAAATCTATGCTCACATACTGTGTATTGTAATTGGAATTACATTTAATTGGTATTCAGATAAATATGGGTATAACATATACCCAAGTGTCGCTATTTAGGAGAGACAGTTCCTGTTTTAGCCCAAATCCATCTTTTCGTCTTTTCTATCCTAATGTCCCTCTAATCTGTGAGTTCCATATCGTTTGTGTATCTGAGTATATAACAGAGCTCCACATCAATAATACTCGTAAACCTCTTTAACTACAGTAAGTGTCCTTAGAAACCAGTCTGTGTAAATAAGATGCGGAGTTCATATCCTAAATTAAAATTTAGCTGCATAAATTATTTTTTTGTCATTCTTTTTTTTTTTATTGAGATTTAAGCATGGGCAGACAAATATAAAACAATATCAAATAAAATAAACTGGTATGCCTAATGCAACACACAGGTATGAGGGAATCAGACTTAGGTGAATTGCTCAAAACTGGATAAATACAGGAATTCACCAAACACCTGTCTTAGGAGGTTTTTGTAATAGGAAAAAGTAATATAACAACCTTAGTTGATATATATGTTCCAGGAGCTGATCCACCTAAAATGGCTTTGCAAATAAACTCCAATGTTGTCTGAAAGAAGCTGGAAGAAATGAAATAAATGCAGTAATACTATATGGTGTATACACCTTTAAATCTGCTATAGGCAGAGTAAATGGAGTGAGCACCAGATACTATACTTTACATATACCAACTCCAAAGTGTTTGAGAAACAGTATATGAGACTGTTCTCTCTGGTAATGAAAGATAGAGGAATTAAATCTCATAAAATATTACGTGCAATATTACTATGTATGGTGTCTGCACCTTTAAGTCTATTATAGAATAGACAGAATAGGGCATTCACCCAAAAATGCTGTACTTTTAAAAAAGATGTAAACCTTAAAACAGGAGTACAGTATTGAAGACTGCTCCTATAATGATATCTCTGAAGAAGTGGGGCGGACACCCACGAAACGCGTCAGATTTTGCAAGCAGGATACGGTGGCAGAAGTTGACCCGGCAGTAGGACCTTGGACACACCGAAAGAAGCTTTCACGAGTCGGGGACCGATCGGGCTGCAGCATGCAGTTCTCAGAGTGAGGTCTGAGACGCACGCCGACCTCACTGTAAGCCGACAGCCAGAAAGAACTATTGGTGACACATAGTATCCACATCCATCCTGGCCGGCCCCAGATACAATTTGCTAACAAGGACTACAATTGTGCTGGTAACATTCTTGCCTTTCGTTCCTGACTTATATTTTTGTATTTTAATAGTCTATATATTTATTATTATTATTTTTCATTTTCTATATTTTTTAATATATTTGATCTATTCATTTTAAGCTCTTTTTTTCCTTTACGTGGTTATTTTTAAGCGATACCATAATTGCATTATAGGAGCAGTCTTCAATACTGTACTCCTGTTTTAAGGTTTATATCTTTTTTAAAAGTACAGCATTTTTGGGTGAATGCCCTATTCTGTCTATTCTATAATAGACTTAAAGGTGCAGACACCATACATAGTAATATTGCACGTAATATTTTATGAGATTTAATTCCTCTATCTTTCATTACCAGAGAGAACAGTCTCAT